AGACGTCTCATCGAGCTTATGGTCTTGCAATTGTTTCAGAGCCTTTTCTTAAAATATTTCAATAGGAAGAGCTTATTTGATATCTACTCCATGGTCAAAAAGGCATTTAACACACAGCTTCCTTTGAAATTGACACTTGTGAGGAGCCACACATATCGAAGTAATTGGATGTTGAATATGATAAGTGCACTACATTATCTTTTTTTAAAAAAATATTGAATTTCTATTACTTTTTTTTAGGTTGTATATATTGTGAATCTTATGTATTAAAATTTAAGATAAAAACAAAACAAAGTGAAAATGAGGATTAGATTGCTATAGATGTAAAATCAACAAATTTTCAAAGATAAGGACTAATGCATAGCTTGAATCTTTCAAAATATAGAATTAAATAAATAACTAAATTTTGAAAATTTATAAAAATAATTAATTAGAGGAGTGTTCTTTATTTAATAATTACAATTTATACGATTTTTTCACCCTACTATTATGATTTCTTTATAAAACCATTTATTTTATTTTATAGTTATTAATAATTTATAGATATACAATTATTGGATCTAAGACTAATGTAACTGAAAGTTGAAAATCTTATAATACCATAATATTATTGTTTTTGCTAAATATTTTTGAAATCTAGTTTATAATTTTAGAAATTTTTTTGGAAATAATTTTAGTAATTTTATTTATCGAATAATGGCAAATTTATTTTCAAACTTAATCGTGAACTTTATCTTTACTTTTTTTAATAACTTTTTTTGTTCTAGAGATATCTTAAATCATAAAATTTTTACCTTTTAGGGTTACCTTAATTATTAGAAATTTATTGAGAGAGAAAAGAATACTTTATTTTATATATTAAGTTTTATCTCCTAATTCAATTAGAACAAAAAATTATTTATTGTTTTTATCGCTTTGCCTTTTTTCAGCCTAATGGATTTTCATTAATTAATTTTTAAATCTTGTTTTGTTGAAAAATAATTTATTTATTAGTTATAAAATAAAAAAATTAATTCTGAAAAAAAAAGAAAAATTTTAAATTGTAATCCATTAATTCATGTTTAATTGAAACAAAACCTTCTACATGAGTAAGCATTATTATTGAAAAAAATAAATTAAAATCAAAACGATTATAATAACATGATTTAAGGAGAAATTATCTTTCCTTTATCTAAGTATCTGTGGAAAAGTCATTTTAACTATATTAATGTTCTTAAATATTCCTTAATATATGAGAAATCTTCACAATTTTTTTATTTACATCCGTTAAGTTCTCATTTTTATTGGTAAAAATTTCATAGAGCATTTGATTATTTCTCTTTATAAGAAATCCTAAAAGCTCTGTAATTTTTTATTTTCTTAGAAATTCTATTATCTGATTGAACATCTCTTCATCAATATTTTGAACTTAATCTAAAATTTCAGAGAGATCATCTATCCTTATACTCTTCTTATTTGATAGGTTGTAAACTAGATTTTAAAATAACTACTTACTTAATTTCTGTCTCTTATTTCTATAATAATTTATTAAGATATTTTTATAATTCTTCATAACCTTTGAACTCAGGTTAATGATTAAATTTAAGTAATTTTGAGCTTATTTTGAAATCACAATCCTAGTGGATTTTTTTAATCTTTTCAATGATTGTTGTTGGATTAATGACTGATATTTCACTTTAGATTAACAAATCTAATTCTCAATCTTCTACACTTCTTTCTCTAACTTTTAACTAAAGATAGTTACCAACTAGTTGTTAATCTATCCAACTCCATCTTATATGAATAAATTTCATCATTCCAAGCTTTTAATTTTGACCCTTCTATAATTGAGACCATCTTTTCTAAATCAGTATATGAGGATTTGGAGAGATTTGTGTTTTAAAAATTATTGAATTTCTATTACTTGTTTGAATGTAAAATTAGGCTTTTGGCAGGGTGGATTTTTCAAAAAATAGAACTAAATATA